CTGGTCAGAAAGGGTTCACATTATACTCGCTGGGCGTAGCCTCCTTGATTTTAAATGTGTTTAGCGAGGGTTGGGCCACAGTGCCACGGCCGCTGTATAAAAAACAAGGTCTTTGTTTTTTATCCAGCGGCCATGGCAGTGCCATGAAGTAGAGGTGGTGAAAAGTGGGAACTATACACGAAGCGCAGGCCGTAAGAAAGTGCGCGCGTGCCGCTCCTCTAGTCCGGCCATGCCACCTCTCGTTTAGCACTTGGAATGTCCACTGGATGGCGCTACTTCTATATGACGAATATATGATGAAAAGATGCGAGATGGCGGCAATTGGAGTGTTCACTAGATGGATGGACGGATGAACAGACGCACGGACGGAGAGACAGTCAGATGCACGGATGGACAAATGGACGGACGGACGTATGGACGAACGCACGTACGGACGGATGGTTGCACGGACGGACGCATGGATGGACGGATGGCTTGACAGAAGATTCGCCCCACTAATCTTCATGTACTCCATGGATATTCTGCATTCCATTCATTTTGTTTCCTTCAGGAAATCGCACACGGCTTCGCAGTGCATTGAGACAGGCCGAGTAGGATGATGATCATGATGATGCTGATGATGATCTCACGCGTCGACGACGTTCACAGATCTACGAGTGAACGGTATATTATAGGATCTTGAAAGAACAGAAGAAGAGTGTGTACATACATGTATTTCGTTAAATGATGCGTATCGCTACTCCAAACAACTATAGCGTTGTGCATGTGGCTCAAGGTCAATCTTTAGTCAACGCAGTGTGGTTTGAAGAACCTTTCTGTGCTACAAACGCCCAGCTTGGTACTGCTGGGTCAGTGGTTTATCATGATAATGATCGTGGTGGTAATGATGATGATGTCTATTTGCCACACACTGTAAATTTTTAGCGTAAAAGCCCCGCTATAAAGTTCCTCTATCATCCCCTTCTCCCTTCTTATGTAAATTTAAAACCTATCGGCGCCAGCACCATGCTGAGAAAAGAGTCTCCATGAAGTTCTTGCCCCTGCAGTATAGCACATCGCAGACCTGCACTGTCTTTGTGCCGTACGTGCGTTGTAAACGTCGTCGAATGAGGACAACTTACCACTTTTTCCAGCGTCACGTCCAGTCTCACGGAAAATCGGGTTTTTCAAAACATTTCCAGTACCGTACGTATCCGTGGCCAACTTTAGCCTGTGTTGACCTGATGGAAGTTCTGCTATTAATACATATGCATGTTCAAACGCTGATATACATGCGGGTTGTGGCGATAGAAATATGTACGTATACATGAGTGCCGTCTTTTTCATCGAGGATTTTCACGGAAACAAAACGTGAAATTTCTTCAACGCAAACATGGACGTATTACATACAGGGTAATATAAAAGTATACGCCATCATAAAATACTTCATGATGGCTGCGTAGAAGTGAAAGTTGATTACGAATACGGTGACAAAGTTCTCTAAATTTCAGAAAAAGTGAGGACAAATAAAGAGCCAATCTGCTCTCCAAGTTCCAACCTCCTTTTTTTCTCTCTCTCTCTCATTAAACAGAACTGCAGCTATATTTCTGATTTTTTAGTAGTTGCCTCGGCAGCAGCACTTGAAGGCACAACCCTTGGTAGGCTAGGAATCCAGATTTCAAGAGCAGTGTGTGCAGCAGGAGGGATCATGTCTGAGACCCACTCAATTAAACAAAGCACACACCCACTAAGTTATGAGAAGCGTATTCTTTACTGGGTAACGTCGTTTCGGTATAAGTATGTACAGCATAGTGGGCGGGGACAGAGTCGCATTAGGAACACCAGGTGACGGCTCTTAAATCCAGCCCATACACTCGCGTTAAAATCAACAGAACCAGAAACACACTGCGTACAATATACAATGTGCACACTGGCACATAAGTCGAGCTAAGTCACGTTTTCCGAGTTCATTATTCACAGATACAGCGTTAACATTGTTTTGATCTTCAAGACTAAAAAAAAGTGATCATGTACTTCCATATAATTCACGTGTTCACGCGTGCATCGCATGTACACAGGATTGTTCACTGTCGTCATATTTGATAAAACATACTCGGATCACCTGATAAAATGATTGTAAGGAGCTTGTAGAACACACAGCTCACAGAAGAGTTCGTGTCGCACTCTTCGCGAACTATTGCCGGACGTCAACAACCAGTGAACCACCAACCACCAACTAACAGTTGCGCGGATCAGATATAGACGTAAACCAGCCCATTTTTAACAAAACGCGTCGCCAGGTAATGTGTAGATGTTCTTTAAGCCACGTACACCCCTACTGACACGTTCCGTGTGCCAATCTAATGATTCCATTTGTGTCTTTATAGAATCCGTATGCTTTTCTTATATTTTTCATACATTTCTCACTTATTTTCCTAAGGATCATACGGAAAACATACGGAATTATTGGAATAGCATACGGAACGTTTCAGTATATGCCAAGGTTTTACATCTTCTTGTGTGCCAGTGTAGTCAGGCGCTCGTTGAACTGCGAACTCGCCCAATCAGGCAGTCTGATATGTTACCTGTAGGACCTGGTAAGAGTGCGTTTTATTGGCTTGCTAGAATCAGTAGGCATAATATAATACTTCGAGTATCGCACCTGAGTCATGCGGTCACTTTCACACATTAGATGACATCACATTTAGAGTTGCCTCAGTAGCTAATTCAGTCAGTGCCAATATCTCCCCATTGTCATTCATGGGCTTGGTGCGCAGCGTCCACTGTGGGATAAACTAGTTCTACTTGCCTCTCCATCGTTTATTTTTTTTTTCGTGCCTTGATCTCTCTCACCAAGTCTACGATGACAAGCCGAACATGCATTTGATTAACCTCTACATATTTCCTTGCCTATCAGTCTTCGAAACACCCTCGACTCAGTTCAACTGTAATGCGCAGCATGTACACCAGACCTTCTCGTTAACCTCCCTGCCTTTGCCATTTACAAGAATTCTCCCTTCCTCTTTCAATCTTCCTGTTTTAGATGCGAAGCAGCTCTTTGACTAGCCTGCGTAATGCTGTCCCTCCGTACACCCCCACTGCACATCCTCGCGTCTCGTGCTGGCCCAGGGAGACATTTGCAAAACTGTCGCTCCACTCCTCCTCTTCGCCTCGCAAGGCCGACGCAGGCAGCGTCTGTTAGTAAAAAACCGACTGCTTGCGCTGCACAATCATTCACTGGCCACCCCGTATATGTAGGGACTGGATCGCGCGTTCGGAATTCAGTCAAGAGCCCCCTTAAAAGGCTTACGCTTGATGAGCGCTGGCGTCAACGTCGCCGCCAGTGTAAGCGTTAGCGCCCGCTGCTTCGCATTACACGTGCTTCCCTTTAGAGGCAGATGGTTCAAGTTTTTTGTTGCACACTGCATCGACGGGATATCGGTCAGTCGGTCAAGTTAAAAGTACAACACAAAAGTTTCGTCACACCGAACATGATGCGATTCGTGTAAGCGATCGAACAATCAATAATTTAGGCCACCTACGATCCTTCCAGTGTCTTATTCCTCCACCATAGAAAGGCAGAAGTTCAGGAAAAGAAGAGAAAGAAAATTCAGGAACTTGGAAGGTCGTGTTCCCGTGTTCCAGGAAGACCACGTTCTTCAAGGCAGGAACATTGAGGAATCCTTATCAACGAAAAGTCCATTTGTCGAAGCGGTAGCTCCGGCAATTTCCCGCGTTCACGAATTTTTCGTCCTCCGCACTGTTTCTCCAGCACCAGCCACAGTGAAAACCCCCGAAGTAATTCAATACGCTTTTTTTTTCTTTTATCTGACCTTATATCAGCCGGAAGAATATCAATGAAATAGCAGCTACAGGTGTTGAAGGTGACTGGTATAAACAACACGCATAATACACGGCTCAGATAAATGCGTTATCTTAAACCTCTACACACACAAACGCCTCAGCTGCAACGGCCCTCCTTGTGATTTATGATAGATAATTGCTGTATACCACATATACATTTTCAATAAAATATCTGCACTCATAAATAAACTGGCATTGGGCTGCCGGTCTCTCCACTACCTAACAATCAGTATCTCTCTGAGTCAGGAGCAATCCTTTAACTTTAGTTTTCCTTTTTATGCTTCCCAGGGCAATTTCAGAACCATTCTAGGAAAAAGTTTCACTGCATGTACCTATGGAAGTGCAATTGATCAATGGCTCGTATTTGTTATTTACAAACTAATGAAACAAACACACAATGAAGCCAAGCAAAGGACAGAGGCGTTGTTTGTAGTCTATCTGCAGCATGGTGATTGTTGCATAAGTAGGAAGAAATTCAAGTACACAGACATCTTGCTTCCGGCACTGAGCCGAACTTACAACCTTCGGCTAATGCTTCCAATGAGCGGCCGCGGTGGTAGCCCTGCCATCCGCTTTATACATAAAAAAGAAGGTGTATACCTTATTTCACTTCATTGCCTGTTCGTTTTGTTGGCCTGTACCTATCTCTGCATTCATAAAGCGAACTAAAGAGCCATTCAAGCGCACGAATTGCGTCCTGTATCACCATATGTCACCCGTTCCATTGGTCCAACTACGGTCCGCGCACAGCGATTCGCGTTACGACGGTAGTCCAAAGCACAGGTGTGATCCTCGGGGATAGATACTGAAAACCTCCCTTCTCGCGTAAATTTCCGCTTGTGTGAACGCTGCCTGCGGAGCGATCCGAATCGCGTCGCATGTTACGCGACCGATTAGGTCAGGATCACTTCCATCGCGTGAGTTTGGCTTGAGCGGCACAACTTTCGGCTCCGTTGACGGGACTTGCCAGCGGGGACAGTGGATTGAGGAGCTATCCCTTCACATTGGTTTCCCTCTTCTTCACTGCATAATTATGTAAGCGCTCTAGGAAGAACTGACGATGCCTGTACCCAAGCGACACAGCTTTCGATTCCGTCGAGGGTGTGCTTGCCAACGGGAACATCGTTTGTAGCGCGCTGCGGCATTGCCTTTCCCCGTCACTCGTGCTTGATTCCGGCTTCGGCGCCCAGCGCCCAGGCCTGGCTCAGGAGCGGCGCACACTGCGAACAGCCCGGCGGACATGCCGGCAGGAAAAGCGGGCAGGCCGGCGTCAACAGGCAGCCCGGTGGAGGCCTCCAGAGCTGGGCGGCAGCGGCGGCCGCTGCGGCAGCAGCTGCGGCAACGGGCGCGCGGAACGCCGAGCGCGTTCCGGGCGCTGATTGGTGCAGGCGTTCGAAGGCGCGCACCCAGTCGCTGGCGCCACCGTCGTAGCCGCGCAGCACCTCCTGGAGTAGACCGGCCGGTGGTCGTTCCGACGGGGGCAGCGCCATGCGGGAGAGCGACGGACCGGGGGACAGTGGGCTGTCCGAATCAGCTGCACCGAGGAGAGAGAGCTTTCAGCTGGACTACGCATCTTCAAAAAAATATAATCACAGTTTCGCCGCTAGGGTGATGCAATGAATTTTATTGCATCGCCCAATGCGATGCAAAGAATTTTCGTATGCGCACATGCAGTTTTGTTTGGTGTGACCAGATTGTTTATAAGAGAAAGACTTCTCTACTCTGTATATGTGTGTACTTATACAGTGTCTGTATAGCTACATATGTATTATGTGTAATTGATATTTCCCGCTTCTGTCCATTACTTTTCTCATTGGACCCTACACTAGCCTCAGGCTATGGGTCCAATCAGTGTTTGTAAACCTCATGTGACAAATGATAATAAACGTTCAATCAATCGATCAATCAATCAATCAATCAATCAATGAACGTAATAGCAAGAAATCTAAATGTTATTCGAAGAGAGAACGGCAGTTTACTCTTTTGGATGGCAGTTTCACACCAACCGCGAAATCGGAAAGCGGACGCGGATTATAACTCACGGCCGCGTGCCCTAATCGCTCCCGGGCTAATTTTATCTACGGTAAAATTGACCACTTTGACCGCAGCCAATCAGGGCCTGAGACGTGCCACGGTCGGGCTGGACTGCGCCTGCGCGCTCACTTCTAAGAAAGAAGCGCGCGCAGGTGCAGTCTATAGCCCTGTCGTGGACGCACGTGCCCCATATTGCGTAGTGCCGCAAGATGGCGACACGTCCATCGTAGATCGGTGGATTGTTCCATCCCCGCGGTGGAGCAGGCTGACGGCAACCTGGTCAGTGTGAACACACATGCCTCTCCTGCCTCTACAGTTCGAAAACCCGCTTGCGTGCTAGAGAAGGGAAACTGAAGTTTTCAGAATGGTACGAAAAATGAGCTACGGTAACGCATGGAACTATCAAGACCACAAGATGGCGCTGCCCAAACAGGGAGCGCGAACGAAAACCTGTTTCAGACTGCTTTTTTTTCTTTATTTTGGCGCTTTTACACTGTTTTAACGTACAGTCCTGGTCAAAAGTTCTCAGGTCATGTTTCCATGGAAAGACATGAGATATAGTGGCTCGGGAAGTTTTGACCCTTCCTTGTACGTATTTTGGGCACATGCGCTGACGCCGCGAAAAAGGACAGAACTATAGGGCAACACGTGCCTTGTACTTTTCCGCCTGCATTTTGTAAGCGCATTTACATGTTGAGCAGGTTTCCGCGAAACTGAAGGCTATATGCGCTGGCACAGAGACACTATTATTTACCGACAGCAAGCCAGCAATACTCTTTCAATGCAGCAAATAAAATTGTCGCGTTGAACAATTATGGAGATCTCGTTGCTTTCGTCGTCAGGAACAAAATGAACCGGGAAGCGTGTCTCGCCCGTTTCAAACCATAATTACAGATTAGTCACAGAAGCCGACACCGAAACTCGCTGTAGCATAAGCTTCTATAATGTGGCAGCTTCGAATTTCAGCACTCGCTTTCGACGAGCACGGTTTTACCCCCCCCCCCCAATTCTTTATGTATTACGAGATACTGCGGTCAAGCTGACAACACGTGGGGATACTTATGAAAGAAAATCACGTTAGAGTGGAACTCGCTAGAAGCTTAAGCATTCCAATACGTGTAGGATCAGTGTAAATGTACTTTGTGCAAAAATACACAACACTGACAGTGGCAACAAAGACTCAGGGTGAAATCACGGACCAATACAAATATGCACGCATCGACATAACAAAGATATACCTGTCATCGCTGTGGAACGTGCATAAATCCATGCCTTCGCCCGTATTACCGCTCCTGCCGCCCCACACATCAGTATACAGCTACTATAGCTACGATAACTGCAAAGTGGCTACCTGAGTAAAGTACAACTCCCCCCCCCCCCCCCCAATAAAAAAAAAATGTGCTAGCGAAAAAACGGAAAGCAGCGGACAACGCCAACCATCAGATGAACACCAACTGCGCATAAGCGATTCAGCTGCTGCCGCCGAGCAGCAGGGGCGAAGCTTTTCAGCTTCGTCACCCAGTAACCTATAAGATAATCCATGGTAGAAGCCATATAGCAGGTCGATAATATCGAATGTAAGAACGTCTGCTGAATTATAGATAGATAGATAGATAGATAGATAGATAGATAGATAGATAGATAGATAGATAGATAGATAGATAGATAGATAGATAGATAGATAGATAGATAGATAGATAGATAGATAGATAGATAGATAGATAGATAGATAGATAGATAGATAGATAGATAGATAGATAGATAGATAGATAGATAGATAGATAGATAGATAGATAGATAGATAGATAGATAGATAGATAGATAGATAGATAGATAGATAGATAGATAGATAGATAGATAGATCCCCGCCTTCCTCACCTCGGGCGTATTTGCGCCGCACTTCACCTCCTTTCCGCCGTTCGATATGCGTACATCTATGTAATGCACACACAGACGCGCGAGTCACACATATGCAGCTCACATCTCTTCTCGGGCGCTCGCGCGTTTCCATCGCTCGAAGGCAACCTCGGCGGTGCGCATACGATATGTAGAGGGGGGAGTCCCCTTCTGAATATCCGCGGATCCATCGCCTCATTTCGATTCCACACATCCCGTACTCGGTCTCGCCTCATCTCTCGGCATGTGGTCGGCGTTTCGAGTGGTTTTTTCCCCGCGTAACCCGGTTAGCATCGACCACTTGTATCCCGGCTTTTCGTGGATGGATGTCGGGTTGCCACCACCGACGAAGGATATGTCTGCGGTGGCGGTGGTGGTGCAAGCGCAATCTGCCGCCGCTAGGTGCCGCTGGCTGTGGCTTCATAACTGGATTTGCTGCTACGTGAACACCGTAGCTTTAACACCTCACACTCCACCCCCCCCCCCCCATTTCCTCACCGCCACCGTACACTTCCTGCCACAAGCGGTGGATCGAAGCCCCCCCCCCCGCCCCCTTCTTTCGCTTCGCACTCGGGTATATGTGACAGGGACTCGATACGCGCTGACAGCTGGAGCGCTGTGCGCTTGTAGCGCGATAGAGACAGCCGATAAAAAAGGAGTTGCCCGCGCTAGATGAGTTGAGACTGTCTCTTGCGCAGATTTTTGTTACATTATCTTTATTTCGCCGCTTTCATCGTGTTCTCTTTGTCATTCTTCATAGCAGTTGGGCAGCCAGCACCGAAGCATACAGTCATTGCCAAAATTTCCGCTATGAAGGCAGGTCCAGTTTTATTTTAGTTTTTTCGAGCTTCGTTTCTGAAGTGCCCTTTTTATAGGTGCGACAGCCACATGCATACAGTTGACGGAGAGTCTGTTTTAGTCAAAATATTCAGAAAGTCTTCAGTTCCACCGGGCTGCTTTAAGGACACCGATATCACCTATATATGATCAGTGTGCTGCGCCGGTGGTCTCTGATATTGATAGGCAGCATGTGTGCATGCATTCGAGATGCCCGTGCCACGCTAAATATGTAGTTTTCAAATGCCAGTTGCACAGATTTAGCAAGTTCGTTCAATACGGCCACACAGTAACAACCAACGCGTTTGTTAGCTCATTATGCAGTCAGGTCTGGCACGGTGAGGTTTTGTCCCTATATAGTATGTTTTGCTACCAGTAGCAGACCTAAGAAAAGATGGAGTGATAAGGGTATCTTGTTGTCCCGCAACAACAATCTTCGTCTTAATTCCTTGCTTACCCTTTCGTGAAAACTCGGCCCCCGCCATTTTTCTATCATGAAGATTATGTCATGATGACAACGCGCATGCCCTTCGTGATATCTAATTCACGGGCGTGTGGCAACGATGCAAAGATATCCAGACAGGATAGATCACAATTGTTCCGAGACAAAAAGAGACTCTTTTTGCTCGTTTTCTTTTTTTTTTTCTCGGGCCTAAGCGTATGTATTATGCCCACGCATTACTCTGATATAGGAAACTTTCTCATTTCTGTGTATTTTTGCTGTGACGTTGTCGCTTTTTCCCAGGAAACATTTCAACGCTTTATAAGAGAAATGCTACAGACCTTACCGATAGCGTACCCCGCGTTCTTCAAACGGAAAATTCCGGCACGCAGTCCGGCTGCGAGGGAAATGCGCCTGTCGAACTGCCCTTCACGCTGACCCGCCGGCAGCCTCCTTTGACATGCCCTGTCTCTAAAGAGAAGACCCGGCGATTTGCTTCAAGAGCGCTCCAATATGTTTCCTTCGTACACTCGAAACCACCTCCTCTTCCCCTCGCCGCGTCAGCCACCGCCGCTGGACCTCAAGACGTCAACGTCCGGTCGAGGGATACAAAACAAAGCTAAACGGAGAGAGAAAACAAAAGGCCTTATCGGCGTCCGCACCCAAGTGTCGAAAGAAAGGGCGTTTCAGGTAACACCGGAACCGACTCGAGCGCCGTCTGGCGGGAAGCAGGCGAATGAGCGAAGAGAGGCGCCCCGCGAAAGCCGAACCCCGGAGGGCTGCCTGGCTCGAGTATATATCCCGCACGACGTATACACACGCTAAGCCTCGTCTGTACACGCTTCTTTTGCGGCTGCGGCAGGCTTTCGGTTCGCGTCAAGGGGGTGGAGGGGCTTTAGCGCAAGAAGTAGCTCGTGTCTCTGTGTGTGCGCGCGATAGTCGGCGGCAGGCGAGCGAGAGGAACGAGACGAAGCAGCAGCACAAGCGATCCGCTTGCTTGCTTGCGCGTGCGCATACGAGCTCAGAGGCATGGATATACACGCCGACGTTCTAGACCGACTACCGACCGAAGCGAGACGAGACCACCCTGGCAGTGTTTGCGGCGCTCAAACATGGCGGCTGAAAGCAGCGCAAACAGCGGCGTCCCTTAATGGGTTCCCTTCCGGAGGGAGCCTGAGAGAGAGAGAATAGTGAAATAGATGGCGAGAGCGAGGAGAAACGTTAAAAAGAGGATAGACACACCCAGGCGTATAGACATTCTCAACTGCTCGCAACCGATGACCCAAAGGAACGCGGCTTTTGGGACTTTATGGCAGTTTCGTACGAAGGGTCTGGTACTTTGTGTGAGTAGAGAGTATATTTCTGCGTGTGGCTGCTGGACTGTGTCCAATGAGACCACGGTTTCGTAGACAATAAGGAACAGTTTCGCATGATACACTGTCACCTAAACAATTTTCGCAGCAGTTTGTTTCGCGTTTTGCACCGACACGTACACTCTGTGCAAATGGTCCGGGACAGTCAACTGACTGTGAAGTAAAATACACCGCTGCGACGCCCTCTTCTATCGATGAAGCGGGCTGCCGTAAATCTGTTGCGTTCGCATCACACAAACCTTTGTAATTGGAACGCTTAAGCGCATCTGTATAGTTTACCCTGGTTACCATGCATACGAAAGGATTTAGGGTTTGCAAGTAACCACTTAATTAGAACTACAGTTAGCATGGTCATTCAAGCCTGTCATTTTGCACAATCAACATGGCGCCACTGTTCTTGCTAGCCCTTCCTTGTTCGTTTTAATGGCAAGTGCTGGCTAGTTGGCCATATCCACAAAGATTAGCTTTTTTGTTTTACCTTTTTAATGGTGCGTGACAGCTTATACAACCCACATGCAACGGTCACGTGCGTTGGCTTGCGAGACTATCAATGTCCAATACAAGACAAGCACAGTTCTATTTTTGTGTGATTAATTGATGCGGATATAAAATACCTTTTTACGGCTTTATGAACTCACGCAGGCCTATATATTTACGAATAATGTTGGTTATTTCTTGTTTATTTTTACGATCATATGAAAAAAGCTTTTTTATTATTATAGAGCCGAGAAAGCAGGCCGAGCTCACGGTCTCAGGACGGATGCCTCTGCAAGGGCTGAGATCCAGCCTGGATTCACTTCGCTGAAGTTTAAACGACAAGCTTTCCTTCACTAGTTCTTTCAGATAAACGCTCTTGGATGGTAAGATATCAGCTCCGTGAATGCGTGGAGTACAATTCTTTCCTCATAGATACACTTAATACTGACTTTCGTCACACACAAATTCAGTGACAAGGCGATGGAACATCGCACGCCGAGTGTTCTATAGTCGACGCATATTCGTCACTTGTCGCGTCAACGCAACGTATACGAAAACCGACTTCATACCGCACATGCTTTTCGCAGTCTCTTATGAAACGGACATCCAGATCAAATCATTGTCCTGTTTTGTCGTTGTATTTTCTTTTTTTAGCGGGATAAAAAACGCGCCGTTGCATTCCCGCAAACTCTGACATATCCTGAACGAAGATGTTGTGTATATATAATCGCCACCGAATAATATTTCAGGTGGCTCGAAAATAAAAAAAAAAGGAGGAGGAGGAGGAGGAATAAATGAGGAAGGACAGGGAGGTTAGCCAGTTCTCAGACCGGCTGGCTACCCTGTACTGGGGAAGGGGGTAAGGGGGATAAAAGATGAGAGAAAAGAGACGTTGTAAAAAAAAAGGGAGAGAAGGTCATCAGACGATCCACGACGCTGTTTACTGTAAAAAAAAAAGTTAATGAAAGATACAAAGGGGGAAATTTTTGAAAGGTTGACCACAACAGAAACATCCCGTTTGCTACCCTGTATGGATAATCTATACTGCATGTAATGCATAAAATAAAAATAAGACAGACGTACGATAACCAAATAGAAATGGGCTCCTGACAAAAAAACATAGGAGAGAAGAAAAGGGAAATAATCTCCGTCGTGCCATTTGTTGGCGTGTTGGTAAACGAAACTCGAAAACATATTCAGTGCCGATAGAAAAGGACTAAAGAGAGAAGGTACCGCAATGCGCTTGTAGTGTCGTCTATGATACGTCCTTATTCGCACTGAATATGTTTTCGGGTTCCCCAGGTGCACGTCGTGTTTGCTGCCCCGTACTGTGTTCCCAAGGCAACGAACGCTCAGTACGATTACAAAGAAACTCAGAACTGGACATCCACGGCCGTGTCTCTGACCTGCTTGTGCGTCCTCCGCCTCCGGCCGTAGCGAGGGTTGCGCCGATGGTGGCGCCACAGTGGCAGCCGGCTGAGACAGTGGTCGTGCAGGAGCTGGTCCCGGCGACTGTGGGGGTGACGGTGAGCGGTCTTCCTCGTCGTCTCTACGTTGTTGCGTCTGGTCTTGTTGCCTGTGTTGCCTCTGCTGTTGTTGCTGCAGAGCTCTGGCGGCTTCGCGGGCCGCCCTCTTAGCTGCTGCTTCTTTAGCTCGCGCCCCGGAGCCCCTGGCCTGCGCCATGGCTTTGGCGGCCAAGGGCAGTCCGAAGATGGGACCCGGGGGCAGGAAGGGTAGTGAACGACCGGTGGCCACGGCGCGCAGACCCATGGCGATGGCGTCTTCGGCGGCCTGCTGACGCTTCAGAGCCACCTGCGCCCACGGGACGATGTGGTCCAATGTAAAGGGTTGTCCACATCTAAGGTGAACGCCTTCTTAGTATATAGTCAAGACCGCATAGAAAGTGGCGCTTACTAAACATTTCGGAAAATTACTGTTGTGGCTAACAATACCAGCATTAGACGCCACGTATTGTTTTCACTCGTGAAGTAAAATAAGCGCTCCAGTTTTAGCGGCTTCAATACTAATTATTTGTTCACCTTAGGTGTGTAAGGCCCAGTTAACATTTAGAGTTATTGAATAGTATCACGCGATAATTCCCTTCCGGCCCCGTTGGCGTCAAATAAGACAAGAAGTGACGACATTTGCTACACGATTCGCCAGCTCCAGGGAGCAATTGCCACGGCGGTCTAGTGGTCAAGGTGCTTCACTGTGAACCCCCAAGTCGCGGTACTGAATTCCGTATGTGGGGGGCTGCATTTTTCGAAGGAGGCGAGAATGCATCAGGCCTGTGTACTTTGATTTAGGTGCACGCTAAAGAACCACAAGTGGAAGATTTCTGGAACCCTTCACTACGGTGTTTCTCGTAATGATGTCTTAGTTTTGGGACTTTGAACCTAATTAGTCTGTTTTCTTAGTGGTACTTTTTTCCTCGATGTTGCGAACTGGTTATAGGACAAAGAAATGACCAATGCTTTCTTGTTGTTGTTGACCTTCTCTTGTGGCTCATGCCCAATGTGGAGGATTGGCCAATATTTGAGGAGTCTTATAAAATCTTGCTCAATATTAGAGTAATGAATGTTATCTTGATTGCAGAAGAGATAACTTCTTTCCTTATATTCGTTTCCCCAGATTCAACCGAGAACCACCACATGTGTGACTGCGTGCATGTCTCTTTCGTCACTCTTTCGATACTCTTAGATGAGACGTATGAAAGATGTCGTAGTTTCAGCGGTAAGACAGCCGGTAAAGTTGAGCTGGTGAAGATAAAGAAGTGAGATATTGATATCAAATTCTCCTGCTATCGCTCACAGTTGGTGGTACGCCGATCCCGTTGATTAAGTGGACATGCAGACTATCACACAGTTGACAAGCAAAGTATGAAAAGATGGTGCTGAAATAGTTAAGCAAGAAAGAAAACAGTAGAAAGACGACCGACACATAGTTTAACCAGTTGCAAACACCCGGTCAGCTTTCGAGCATCATGATCACCATGGCGGGTAATGACAGTACGACAACATCTTCGAAAGCTGGGCCTGGAAGTATCAGAAGCGGCTGTTTTTTTTTTTCTTTCTTATGCGGCTACAGCTCTGCGGCACAGCTACAAGAATGTTTAAGTCGCCATCAACGCATTCAACAGCGAGGCTAAAAGGCTATCTAGCTAAATTCTACCTGTTTCATTATCAATAATTGATACAAATAGAATCATTATATTATTTAACAGTAACTTCTGTGAATTATACGCCACAAAAAATATCAGAAAAATTCACTCACTACTCAGTCGATTCCCTAAATTTTGCATGAGCCATTATCGCAGGAAAACAACGATAAAGCTGCGCTGCTGGCTCGCTCGTTCGCGCAGTCGAATTCCCGCTGCGCAAGCTGCATTTTCGATGCAGGCAGAAATGTTTCAGGCCCATACGCTTATATTTAAGTGCACGTCAACGAACCCAACGTGGTCGAAATTTCTGGAGCCCTCGACTACAGCGTCTCTCATAATCATATTGTGGTTTTGGGGCGTTAAATTCCGTCAATTAATAGAGAGTTTTAGTACTGAGTACGCTGCGGCGTTGCGTACGTAAGGACGCCACGTTCTGCGTAATGCGCATGCGCAGACCGCAACGCGCACGTATCGCATTACGTACGCAGCCGCTACGTACGCACGCATGAGATGCGTGCGTGCGTACGTCTGAGGTGACCGCGCCGCTCTCGAACAAGTTCGCGACAGCGCGAGACTTCGTTTTGCAAAATGGCGGCATCAAAGGCAAGCACCGATAGGCTCTGTGGCTTAAAATATGGCCATAATCTGGCTTTAACGCTTGGATTGGCTTACATTGGCTGTCAACGACACGTGCTTCTATTTTGATCTACCAGATGGCGCAACACGCTTCACGCTCGTTACGTACGCGGGTACTGCGGCGTACTAAAAGCCTATTAGTGGCAAACGACGCCACGTAACGCAAGGCGCTTGCGTGATGCGTACGTAGCACCATTCCGCAGTACTAAAACTCTCTAATAAACATAAGGCTGATTTTCTGACAGATGTCACGTCTTCTTCTTCACCGTGATTCGACAGGAGTGCAGGGGGTGGGTGAGCTTGCCTGTGCGGCCATGATGCGCTGTCTCTCGGCGATGAGGTTGCACTTTGCGCATGCGCAGTCCTTGAACCGGCACTGTCGCTTGTGGCCCTTGAGCCACGAAATGACGCCGTGGTTGCGACAGCGCGCGCACTTGGGCCTCCTGGCGGCCGACGAAGAAGAGGACGCAGGTGGACTGGACGCGCCGCCACTCATCGCTCCGGAAGCTCGAGGTCAAGTCGCCGCGTGCCCTGCTGCGTCCATCGTTCTCGCACTGTATACAAGGCAGCGAGAAAAACCTTTCAGCAAACGCTAAGAAAATTACAGTCAAAATAGCTTATGCCCTCAAACACAGAGGCGTATACCCACTGGAGGAAGGGTTGGAGAGGTTCCCCCCCCCCCTAGAAATACTCACTGGAGGAGGGTTTCACGTACCCCCCCCCCCCCATAGAAATATTTCATTTCTGCTTACGCATATACACGCAAACACAAAACCGTACGCACGAACGTTCATAAAGTATAGGTGAACTACCACCCCCGAACAAAATTTCTGGCTGCGCTCTTGTTCACGAGCTGACTTTTCAGTCGAGTTCCAACACTGTAATTTGGATTGGATAATAATAATAGTAACTCTTGGGGTTTTTCGCATTCTTGCTTTTTTAATAATTGCAACTTTTTAACATATATGTGAGAGCACCTATGTTTAGTGAGAGCACCTATGTTTAGTGTCATTTGCAGCTGTGTTTGGCGTCATTTCGTAGCGTTTCGCTCAATACAAAATTACACCACAGTCACTTTCCCTCCGCATGCTTTGCATCACATCGATTCACACAATACGCAGAATCTGCCCAATTTTTGTCTCTCAAATAATACGCGCTGACAATTTGGGCATCTGTGAGTAGCTAACGCTTATTAGAATGAGCACCGCTTTCGCAAATATTCCTTTTGCGCGCCGGCAATGCTAGCATTCAGAGAGGGGGGATTGAATATGAGAGAAAAGCTGAGAGGTCGGCCTGAATAAATTTTCTGACCTGCTACTCAGCGTTAGGTAAGGTTAGGTAAGAGAAAAGTGAGGTAAAGAAAGTACAGAAGTGGTGTTCATGATGATGAGAATGAAGGCGATGATGGATAGAAACCTTAAGCTCAAAAGCTATTTGCAGTCTTCTTTCGAGTTATGTTTTTTTTTTTGCAAAAACTCGTTCAGACTTTCGAAAAAATTGCGCTGATGACGACGTGTAAGTCCCAAAAGAATTTTTTCTCTATACTTCTTGCTTTACAGTAAAGCATAAAGGTTATGAAGGAAGTACGAATAATTTCAACTATATCGTTATCCGTGATAAGTTTGCCTCCAAATTTGTGAAAGATCGGAAGACGCGCTCTGCAGTTTTGTTTGAGCAATGACGGGGGCTTTTGAGAATAAGGTAAGGCGGCGATTTCGAGGCATGAACGACTTTGTTGACGTTACATTCCACTCAAGATCCGGGTAGTGAATTCTGTTCAAAATTGGAAGGTGGCGAGTTCGGATCCCGTCAATCGCTGCGTCTGGTCCAGATAATCGGGATGCCCTTAAAACGCACTGGCGTCTACACTGCTCTGTTGAAGGGCGTTCACTTCGTCGTCGCGTTTCTGAGCAGCTGACCGATACTGCAACGAAATTACGCAACGTTTTACGCACCGAAATGCCGTCTTCCCTAATGCGAGCTTGGCAACGCGAACTGCGCGAACGCTTCCAGCGCTTGATCGCTACCTCGTCTCTATAGCGGCGGCTGCCTGGCGTTGTAGCCATAACCCCTGTGCACATCCGGAGGTGCTGCGCTACACGAGACCTTCGTTTTTTTGGGCAATCACAGCCATTTGTCTCTATGACCTCACAAATACCACCGGCGCAGCCGCTTCCTATACGCCTGACCGATCTGTTTTCTGATTGATTTGATTGATTTGTGGGGTTTAACGTTCCAAAACCACCATATGATTATGAGAGACGCCGTATAGTGGAGGGCTCCGGAAATTTCAACCATCTGCATGGTGTTCTTTAACATACACACAAATCTGAGCACTCGGGCCTACAACAATTCTGCCTCCATCGGAAATGCAGCCGCCAAAGCCGGGATTCGAGCCCACTATCTGCGGGTCAGTAGCTGAGTACCTTAGCCGTGACGGGGCGATCTGTTTTCTTGGCGCATTTTGAAGCGATGTCGTGTTCGTCCATGCGGACAAACTGTGCCACAGCACCGCCAATGCTTAGAGGTTTGCCCCATGTTCCTCGACAAGCTGCTGATTGTCTGCACATCCCTCCGTCGGCGGGAGAGGTGAAGGCGACACTGCAATCTATGAAACGTAGAACCGCCCATGGGCCTGCCAGTTTTCCAGTTGAGTTTTGTTTGACATTTTGGAATTAAATTGGTATACTGCCTTTACCGTGGTTATCCAGAGATGTTTCGAAAACGGTGTTTTTTTTTTCATCCAGTTTTTGAGATGGCCGCGTTGTACATATTCCAAAAGGTCGCGGTTCCTTCGTTATTGCCAAAGATTGGAGGCCAATCACGCTCCTTAACACCGACTATAAGGTATTTGCGACGGTAATCGTTCGTCATTTGAGGGCTCTGTTGAACACCCTGGTCGGTCATTATCAGGCTTCATCAGTGCCTAGACGAGAAATGCACAGCTTGTCCTTTACCACCCGTGATATCACATCCTATAGACTATGTCGCGGTCTGCGCGTGGTCTCCTTGTATTTTTGGACCAAGAGAAGGCATTTGACCAGCTGGAGCACACGTATATCTTCAATGTGCTCACAGCTTTTGGCTTTCCTTGTTCTTTTCTGGAGTTAATTAGAAATGCTTTTTTTAATTAAATGCATGTCAGGAGAGGTTGGTGCCAATGCGTGGTGCCGGCTACTCCTCTCTTGCACAAAAGTCAACATCGCACATTTTGTAGCAAACACAAGGCTATATATATATGTACATAGCACAACACTTACACAACTAGTTTACGTTTTTCAACACTGAGTGTCCACACCACACAGAAATGGGTCCACACTGCATAGAAATGTGTCCACACCACACTGAGTTTGTAAAAAAAACACAAGTAATCACGTCAATTTAAGTGTTCACACAAAAACGTGAAAATTCAATAAACGTTTAAGGTGATTTTGTCGCTTAAATACTGAACTGTTTTCTGAAAGGTTTTCCCAAAAATATCGTAGTGAAACACGAAAATACTGTTTTGAAACATACCACGGTTAACAGTGAAGTGCATTTGTCTTTTTGTTTAGTACTTTTGAGCTATTTCTGATTCCTCCAGAAAGTGGACGACTGCGCGCGCTGCAGTGGCTTCTAGCTTTCCTTTTGGCCATGGACCCAAGATTTTTGCAATTGATGGAGGTCGCTTATCCAAAGAATTGAGTTTTTGAAAAAGGTTCTTTCGAGGTACGTCATGATTTTTACAATGCAGAAGAATGTGCTCCACGTCTTCTTGAGCTTCTCCACATGAGCAGGTATACGACTGCCAGCTTTCCTTATTCTATACAGGAAAGCCTTCGTGTAGGCTGTACCAAGTCGAAGCCTATGGATGACTGTTTCTACCGATCGGCTAACCTTTAACGGAATATTCAATTCTATACCGGGATCAATGTTATACAACAGAGAGTTTTGCACACCATTTTCGAACCAGGTTTCCTTAGACAGTTGACAGCTCAGCTTATTTATTAGACACCGTGCATCGCTCATCGGTAGAGGTAGCAGTGTATATATTATTTTCTTGATGTGCTGCACGTGCAATGTGATCAGCTATGTCGTTTCCTGTGATTTCACAGTGGCTTGGCACCCACTGGAACATTATGGTGTGGTTTAAATCTTTTGCTATAGCGTACGTCCTCTGTATTTCATACCTACTCTGGTATAAAAAGAACATTAGTTTTGGATGGCTGAAAGAGCCCTGCTTTTTCCATTACACGGGGGGTCCATCACGGATGCCCATTGTCTCCTGTGCTATTTGTGGTCAGTCTTGAGCCATTTTTATGGGCTGTACACGCGGATTCGCGCGTCCGAGGTCTTGCGCTGCCTAGCAGCAGCGTAGTGAAAGTAACGGCTTTCGCTGGTGACAAAACCCTTTACCTTTCAGATGAAGATAGTGTTTCACACAGCCTGAGTTTATTCGTTCAGTATGGTGACATTTCAGGTGCAGCGTTGAAAGTATTTGTTCATTGGCTCTCCAAACTGCAGATTTATCTTCGTTCCCCTATTCAACCGGCTGCTTCCCTTGGTATTTTAGGCATTTTATACAACCACTATAGTGTCTGTGATTCTGTTTGGTCAAATGCTCCTGAAGAAGCAAGACACGAAATCCGAGACGCACGGGACTTCGACCTTTCGCTTTTTGAGCGGAGATATACTTGCGCAGACTGTGCTTTGCGGTCGTATTTGGTATCTCTGTCACGTGGTGCTACCACCTTTGCGCATCGTGCGATCGCTGCAGTCGGCTTTGTGTTCCTTTTCCTGGTCTTGTGGCACTGAGTTAACCTTTCGTGCGGCATTATGACAGCAGCGTTCCCGGAGGGGGGGGGGGGGGGAGTGGCGGAGTGATTTTAAATAAAAAAAAAGAGGAAAGTGAACCCTGTAACTGTCTCCTAGGGGGAGGACACCTCAACAGTACCTCACGAGGGGTGGGGTTAAAGGAAAGATTAAAACGATAGGATTAAAAGGTAAAGAGAAAGAGAGCTAGGAAGGAGAGAGCGAGGTGCAGCGACAGCGAACGACGGAAGTAAGGAGAAGATAGGAAAGGTGTAGACGGTCGCAGGAATCTGAGGACGGGGCACCACTCGACGAGAGCTCTTGTCAGGGTCAAGAGACGACGTAGGGTGAGCCCAGTCAGCCCGAGCTACGCTGTCGTCGAAGATCGGCGCCAGGAGATGGCGAAGGGTCAGCCCGGTCGGCCAGCTAGAGCTACGCTGTCGTCGGAGATCGCGAGGGCACAACCGGTCGGCACTGAATCCAGCGAGCGAATCCTGCAGCGTTCCCAGGGAGGCTTTGCTTTCCCTTCGGTGTCCATATGTTGCCGGCTACTGGCCCTACGCTCTCTGTTTCGCCTTGGAAAGAAAGGGGAATCCCCCGCGCAAACTCTCGCATACTATTTTCTAGGCACTCCCTTTCGGTATTTATTACCTAATGTACATCTATACAGAGGCCCACAATGAGTAAAATCTACTCCATTTTATGCAACAGCTGTCGCATGTCATCTTCATGT